GGTGCCAGCAAACCCAGGGACAGGGGTAGAATAAGTGATCTAAAATTGATGGCGAGGAGGACATAGGATGCTTGGGGGGTCTCGATCAAGGACGATGTAGCCGAGAGAATTACCAAAACACCAAGGAAGGCTCGAATGAACATGATAGTGGGTGAGGTAGTCGTTTATTGTGCCGATAAACACGTGGTATTAATGGCTCGGTGAATCTCGCCTTTCGAGTTCTTGGGTCTCTTGCTTTGTGATGGTCGGACCAGGGTGCAGCTGCCTTAGCCAATTCCCTGCTTTAGCTGGCAAGGTTCACTTCCTGCAAGACATCCCTGAGAAGCCACATGGACCTACCCCAATGCAGCCCTGGGTGTTGGAGTACCCGGGTGGAAACCCCTGCCAGTGCTGAGATGCTTACACGTTCACTGACTCAGCTTTCCTCCTGCAGTTGGCATCATTGTGTCTGTTTTGTGAGATGGAGGAGGACTTTGTAGATTGGTGTTGGGCATATGGGTTAATGTTGGATTTGTGGGCTTGGGCAGCACTGGGTTGGGATGGTTTGGTGATGCACACTTAACCTTTATATAAAACTGTCATACATGAGTTTCTGTGGATTTGTTTCTTTAAAGTACCCAGACTAACACAGTGGGAGAGGAGCAAAGTAAAAGGAAATAGAGGAAAGAATTGGGAGGCTAAGGACATTTATAGAGAGAGGTCTAAATATAGGGATGTATATATGTAAATATATTTACATACAATGACAGGGGAAAGGATCTATGTACATATATTTATTGATAAAGTATTATGGTAGCAGATGGACAACTAAGCCTCCATTCAAGTACTCCCTGAATGCAGGAACAATGTATTCTACTAACACGGCACTCTGTGATGTTTGCCTTCCTTGACACAATCGCTGAAGACAAAATGGGTACATAGCACATGTGGTGAAGAAAGCTGATGGTGCCCAGTTATCAAAAGATATAGTGTCTGGGGTCTTAAAGGCTTGAAGGTAAACAAGTGGCCATCTAGCTCAGAAGCAACAAAGCCCACATGGAAGAAGCACACCAGCCTGTGTGATCATGAGGTGTCAAGGGGATCAGGTACCAAAGAACCAAACCAAAACAAACAACAAACAAAAAGCATATTAATGGGGATGAGAGGGAGGGCAGAGTGCAGACCCAAAGCCCATCAGTAGTCAACTGGACACCTCCTGTCACAAGGGCCACAAGAAAGAGAAGAGCCAGTAGGAGTGCAGTATAGCACTGATGAAACACACAACCTTCCTCTAGTTCTTTAATGCTTCCCCACTCCCCTCTCACTACCATGACCCCAATTCTATCTTACAAATCTGGCTAGACCAGAACATGTACACTGGCACAGGTAAGAGCTCGCAACAAAGTGAATCCAGATCAGATAAACCTCTCAGGACCAATTTGGGAAGCAGTGATACTAGGAGGGTAAGGGTAGGGGCTAGTAAGGGGGAACCGATCACAATTACTGATGTATGGCCCCCTCCCAGGAGGATGGACAACAGAAAAGTGGGTGAAATGAGACAGCAGTCAGTGTAAGACACGGAAAAAAGAGAATAATTTATAAATTATCAAGGGGATATGGGGTAGGGAGGGTGGAGGGAGGGGAAAAACGAGGAGCTGATGCCAGGGGTTCAGGTGGAAAGAAAATGTTTTGTAAAAGATGATGACAGCATATGTCCAGATGGGTTTGACACATGGATGTATGTATGGATAGCGATAAGAGGTGTAAGAGGCCCTCCAAAAAGAAAATAAAAATTGGAAAAAAACAAAAAAAATAAAACAAAGTAGTTATCAGGGGGGAAAAAAAGCACTTTAATTCTTAGACATTTACCAAATATCACACTGCCACAAAATATTCTTACTTGCTAATCTTCTCTCTATTATCTCATAATAGTAATCAATTCACTGCAATTGGCTCATTTTGTTGTCAAGAGTTAATTTTGTTTCTAGTCATTTCATGGTGCCCTAATGAGGGGTGGGGTCTGAGTTACAGAGTCGGGTCAGTGTTAGGTAATGATGAAACACCTGACCCAACCACAACAGGCACCTGAACTGAGAACCAGCATTCTTCAGAATAGAACTCTCATGTTCTCACTGGTGCACATCTCTTCTCTCAGTATACGATGCCAGTCTGATGCTGCCTCCTTGGGGGTGTGGTCTTCTTATTAGTCGGGGGAGGGGACTGGGAACCTCCCTCTTTCTCTGCCACTTGCCTTCTTGCTACCAACCCTAAGAACTGTTGCTCCGACTTTGATCATGTGACTCTGCACCCACTCATCAGCCTGTGATCTTCCTGTTCCCACTTCACTGGCTTGCCTCTACATGAGCCTGAAGAGGGACCTACGGACTAGCATCAGCATTGTGGGCTTGAGTTGGACGGGGCTGGGGTGCCTTCTTGATATATAATTATTTCAACGATATACACCTCTTTCTTATACATAGATTAGTGTCATTGTATTTGTTGCTCTAGATAACCTGGCTTCATGCATAGGGTATGTGTGGGAAGCCTGGAAGAGGAGGTGAGAACGGTTTTATTGGAACTGTTGTCACTCTCTGAATTTCTGACTTGATTGCTGACCATGCGAACATAGGGACATATGGACACTCAGCCACAGAGACAGAGAGAGCTTGGAGCAGAAATCTCTCCAGGAAGGAGGGTTAGGTTGCATGGATAGATCCAGGTAGACAGATAGATGTATGGGGTACGCACCCTGCTAACCTGTAGTAGAACCGCTTACCTCAGAATGGTGAACTACAATGGGTGAATGAGAATGAAGGAAGAAGGCTGGGTTGGGTTTGGGGAGATGAGTCCTTCCTGGCTTTGTGACTTAATTTTACCCTCTTTAGGCCTCCATGTTCTCATCTAGGAGGGGCTAACTTTGCAGCGTCCTTCCTTAGCGTCAAAAGCTTAGTCCTTTTTTCTTCTAGGTTTGACAAAAAATACATCTGAAAAGATTAACTGAGTTTGTTTATTTTTCTCTCCCTTTGCTTAAGAGTTTTAAATATATTAAGAATTAAACCTGATTAGGTATAAGGCATCAGCAGAGCAAAAAATCCTACCATAGTGAATGATGGGGGGAGTGCGGAGTGGAGACCCAAAGCCCATTAGTAGGCCTATGGAGATCCCCTTGCAGAGGGGTCTCAGGGAGGAGACGAGCCAGTCAGGGTGCAATGTAACAATGATGAAAAATACAACTTTCCTGTAGTTCCTAAATGTTTCTTCCCCGCTCCCACTATCATGACACGAATTCGACCTTGCAAGTCTGGCTAGACCTGAGGATGTACACTGGTACAGATAGGAACTGGAAATCCAGGGAATCCAGGGCGGATGAGCCCTACAGGACCAGTGGTGTGAGTGGCGATACAGGGAGGGTAGAGGGAGAGTGGGTAGGAAAGAGGGAACCGATTACAAGGAACTGTGTGTGACCTCCTCCCTGGGGGACAGACAACCGAAAAGTGGGTGAAGGGAGATGTCGGACAGGGCAAGATATGACAAAATAATAATTTATAAATTATCAAGGGCTCATGAGGGAGGGGGGAACAGGGAGAGAGGGTAAAAGTGAGGACCTAATGCCGGGGGCTTAAGTGGAGAGAAAATGTTTTGAGAATGATGAGGACAATGAATGTACAAATGCACTTTACACAATTGATGTGTGTATGGGTTGTGATAAGAGTTGTATGAGCCCCTAATAAAATGATTAAAAAAAAGAATAAAAAAAATAATTTTTTGTAAAGAGTGCAGTACAGTCATGCACTGCTGTCATGACACATCCTGTGAAAACAGACGGTGTGATTGGGATGTTGTGTAACTACTGTATTACATAGAGGCAATCACCAGATTTGTACATAAGTCAGAATAGTCAGGTATGGTTTATACCTAAATTCAGTTAGTCAAATGTTTGTCTTAGTGTACCTTCCTGTGCATAAAAACCATTAAGGAATCACTTTTAGACACATCAAATCATCCTTAACATAATAATAAGCACCCCCACCCCTACCCTAACATGCTGCCATTGAGTGGATTCCTACTTACAGTAACTATACTGGGTAGAGTCCAAGCACACCATACAGTTTCCAAGGCTGTAAATCTTTACAGTGGCACACTGCAATATCGTTTTCCCATGGGGCAGCTGGTGGGTTTGAATTCCTGGCCTTTTAGCAGCGTATGCCTAAGTGCTTTAACATAATACAGTGATAATGTTTTGGTGCAGATTGCAAAGTAGAGTCCCTTAATTCTCACAAATCATAGTATGTACCTCGAATTTTTCCTATAATGTAGGTTTTCCAGGGTTGAGACCATAGATGTATCTGTGGCTGGATGCTGCCCATACTGAGGTTATGCAGCACAGGGCTGTATGACATTTAACTTTTACTCTGGAAGCAAGATAAGTGCAGTTTTTTCCACTAAGAAGAATGTAGGAAACAGCGCCACAACTCTGAAGCTTATCTGAAGAACACACTAAGCTTCATCTGGCCGAATCTGCCAAACCAGAAAACGTATCTGCTCATTTAAACCTTTCATCTGTCATGAGATATATCTGGAACACCAGAGTTTGACCGTGTGTATAAATTCCCCAACCAGGCTGCCATTAAAGACATCTGCTTGTGAGACTCATGAGTCACACATGGTGTGCCGGAACAGCCAGCTTTCTCTGCTCTTTTACCTCATTTTATCTTAGGCACCCACCAGTAGTGAGAATGTTGAGAAAAAAAAAAAGATCCCTAAGGCCTTTCGGCAGAGCTCTAAGAGTTTTACTTTGACCAAGTTCTGCAGCAGCATTTCTGCGACTATTGCACAGTATAGCACCTACGGCAGCTTTAAAAATCAGCACTACGTTCTAGCAAGTTCTTCTGTGTATTCATTTTCCAGGCTGCAGGCTAACTGACTTAGCTACATGTAAGAAGACCTGCTTTTTGTTCACAGGGCTACTGACAACAGTCTCGAGTGAAGACACGCATACGGCGCGTGCCCGGGGTACCCACCTTTACCAGTGCTGGCCCAGGCTTTGCTGAGGACACAAGGCTTGTGGGGAGAATGGGTGCCGCAGACCTTGTGGGAGGCAGATCCGCAGGAGGAGTTTTCAAGAATTCAGGAACGGCTGGGGGCACTGAAGTAAACTGGTGGAAAAGGAAAAAAAGTTCAATTAGTGGCCATAATAATAGAAAAGAAAAAAATCTGGAATCATAAGGGAATGACTTCACTTAAACTAAGTCCATTAGAAAAGAAATGAAAGACAAATGCATGATTATGTCTGAGACCCAGATGGTGGAGTACCACAGGTACCTCAGTGGAGACAAGTCGACTAAACTCATTGCCCCAGTAGCAATAAAGAGCTCAATCAAAAGGCGGTTAGATCAACTAAATGTAAGTGTTTTTGCAGAAATATCAGAAGGACCTTTTTGTGGTGGTGGCAGTAGGTGAAGGCTCTTGCAAAAGTGATGAAAGTGACGCTTGCTTCTTCGCCTTGTTACAGTCCTACAGCCCAAGCCGCCACGCCGACTGCCGTCATGTCAATTCCGACTCACAGTGACCCATGTAGGGCTTTTGAAGCTGTACATCTTATGAGAGCTGATAGCCTCATCTTTCTCCTATGGAGCGGCTGGTGGGTTTCAACCTTGGACCTTGCAGTTAGCAGTCCACTGCTGCTCCCTGGAAGCCCACCTGGGGCCCTGGGAGGTGTTGCATAGTAATTCTCATTTCCCCATATCGGAGGAACATTCTTTGGTCTTGTTAATCATTCCATTTAATCATTCCAATAAGAGGAGAATTGGAGAGTATATTCTGATAAAACTGATCTGACAGCATCACCTCCCTTCAAACATGCAGCTAATTCGTGACTTAGATTGAAAAAACCCCCAAAACAATGGTTTAATTTCAACTTGGAATTATATATTAACCAAAGATGCTATGACAGGAGTCTTTGCTAGGTATCAATCCACTAGCTATCTACTTTAAATTACCCATTTACAAGAAAGATATCCTATTATAATAAAACAGTCAAATCGTGCTTGGACTAATGTTAGCAATCTTCAGATAAGGAAATCTTTCTTCTTTTATCACCTCCACTTCTTTCAATAATTCTCAAGTTCATTAGACCAGCTATTACACTCAGTTTTTTAAAACAGTTTTAGTGGGACATAATCTACATATCATACAATCCAATAGGTTCAATCATATCAAGAGAATTGTACAATCATTAGTACAATCAATTTTGGAGTATTTTCTTCGTTCTTGTACTCCTTTGTTACTAACTCTCCACATCTCCCCAACCTCCCCTGCTATGCTCCTAAGCAATCATTCATCCAGTTACTGTCTCTACACACTCACCCATCCTGGATTTCATATACTGAAAAAATACAAAAACAACAAAGAAACTAAAAGTTACTAACAATAACAAAATAAAATAGAGAAAAACCTTCATTGAAAAGGAAGCAGAAAATATTAAAAACTAGAACAACTTAAAAATGGTCAAAAGGAAGATCAAATGATAAGGTGTCACATTTTATCCTACCTATGTCTGCCGGAATCCACTTTCCAATGCACTCTGCATGATAGATAGCAAGACTATTCACATCCCTGGCTCGTGTTCAGAGAGGCTTCACCAGAGGCTTAATCTCTGTGTATTTTCTCTTTTAAACTGATACAACTTTTAAATGGGTCAAAAGGTGGAATCAAATAAAATGTG